ATTGTTCGTTTCTAATATTTCGCCAGCCTTCAGTGTTTGAATGTAACAAACATTGTTTGAAGTCAAGCAAAAAGCTACACAGGTATCGAAACCTAGATTCTAGCGTCGTAAGTCCGCAGACACACCGCTGTGCCATTAGGGGGGCAGCCAGTAAGAATTTTGTTTGTTTGTTGTTAAACGCGAAGCTACACAATGAGCTATCTGCGCTCTGCCCACTACGGGTATCGAAACCCGGATTCTTGAGTTACAAGTCCGCAGACATACCGCTGTGCCACTGGGGGGCGTAACAAACATGCTCGTAATATTAAGTTACTATCGCCACCCGTCGGTGATATTCGAAACTTACTCTACTACTATGCATCTCCATATAATTTAATCGAAAGCCTAGGATCATTTGATTTATGGAATTTCATTTATAAACAATTATCTTTTGCCAAGAAATTAGTTTACAAAAAAAAAAGTAATAATTAAACATGCCCTAAGACGTCAGTATTAGGTGTATTACACTTTTAGTGGCTTCGCTCTTTGGACTCGTAGACGGAAGGTTTCGAGTTAGAGACTGGCCCTCGTCATGATCCTTGAGTAAGGCTTATTCCAATTTACCAAGCTGTTAACTTACGATGGACTGGCAGCCCGTCAAGGAGGAATGGGTTGACATCCTCATTCGCTTGTACTGTTCGAAATACCGGCTCTTATATTGGTACACAAGAAGAGTGTATAACGATATTCAAACCACACTGCGTCCGCCATGTCCATTGCCCACGAAGCGTTTCGCTCAATCGAGAGCTCAGCTGGGACACAACAAGCACAGTACATATTATAATAACAGATGATTGGGTGCACATGGTTTTAAGCAGACGTGGTGTGTTCTTCTCGGAAAAACCCTCAAGGACCTAGTATATAACTGTATATACATTATCGATCACCCGGATAAATCCAATAAAATCAAAACAATAATTTTCACGAAATTTTTGAAAAAATTCCAAAATCCTTTGTAGTTTTGATGGAAAAAATAATTTATTTGAGACAAACAGAAAGAGCGTTTCTAAACCCAAATTTCAGTGCTAAATCTCCAATTCTCGATATTACGACTTTAATATCGGTTACAAAACTAAATATGGCAATTTTCTCTTATCAAGATTATCGTTGTGGTAAATTTATTTTGTTGACAAGTGTAGAAAAATGGAAGAAATCCAAAATGTACACAACAGATAGAGAGATTAGTATTTCGAGTTTTGATGAAAAGCGTACATCAAGTGTATGTTTCTAGACCAATAATATGAAAAATACAATTCTCGAAAATTACCAAGGGTATATATATATATAGCCTTTGTGATTTTGACGAAAAATTAATATTTTTAGAATAACCCATAAAGTGTGTATTTTAAAGCAAAATTAATTGTAAGACCTCCAGTTCTCTTTCTTTCTCAGAAACACCAAAGAAGGAAACGATACAACTTTGATGAAAAATATTATATCACTTCGAAGGGATATTCTGAACATGATTTCTGACATTAACGACAACCTTCCTGCAAACACTATTCTCTGTACTATGGATGTTTCTTCTCTCTACACAAACATTCCCCACGACGAAGGCCTAAAAGCCCTAGTCTTCACGGCTAAAACTAGACAAATCCAACACTCAAATTATTACAGAATTAGCTGAACTAATACTTACACTTATTCAACTTAATTATCGACCCCAATCCTTTATTACAGAAGTTCCTATCGTTTCTTTTAGAAAAAAATTAAAAAAACTTTGAATTCGCACTTGGTTCACGCTAAAGTCAACTTTAAATCGACACCAGGTGGAAGTCGTTCTTGTAATAGCAAGTTTTGCCAAACTAGTAAGTTCCTGCAGGAAATGGACAAACTTGCTTCTTCTTCGGAATTCGGTCCAGGGAGGGTCGAGTTCAGCATAGACCTCCCCCCCCTCTGGAATTGTTATTTTGTTTGCACTGTTACTGAATCCCAGGTAATAACCCTTGTTACATTGTTGTTGCACCACTCACAGTATGTTAAATTTTGTCCATTGTCGGCAGTTTAAATTAGCAGCCTTTTCGCGCCATATCTAATTCATGGGGTAATATGAACTCGTATATTTTTACAAGCTTGTCTTATGTATGATCGCGCTATAAGTTTTTGTTCACAATACAGTTCCACTTAGCAGTCATATATACATCATTCTATTTTAAAATAGAGCTACGTTGTGTCTAGGATTCAGTTAGCCTAGCACTGTTTGGCATGTAAGATTATTATTTATGATGTTCAGAGGGGAGAGGTACTTAGGATTTGGTTCATCGTGTATTATATAACTCTCTAGTTTGATCATCGGTTCATATTTATTAATATTTTTCTTATAATATTGAAGCCAGTTATCCAGGAGTCTGTCTGATAGTATTGGCATGTTTGAATAGTTGTGTAGAAATACTGAGTTTGTTGATCGTGTGACTCTCTATATGCTGTCGTTAAAATATAGTTTTGTATTTGCTGTAGTTTGTTGATGCGTGTTTTTGATACATTTATCCATGTTATAGAGACATATTCTAAGACTGGTCTTATGTATGTTCTGTAAATTTTTAATATTTAATCTGGTGAAGGTCCTTGTTTGTTGCCAGTGAGGCTCCTAAAGTAACTCGCTCTTTTCCAAATTCTGGTTTTTGTGTTATTAATGTGTAGTATCCAGTTTAATTTTGAGTCAAATGTAATCCCTAAGAATTTTGCTGATGTTGCTACCTGTAAGAGAGTCCCGTCTAGATATAACTGTGGTATTAATATGACTTGTGTTTTGTACACATTTAATTCTAAACTTATTACACTATATTGTATGTTGCTGTTGTTGGGTTTGGGGCACTCTTCCAGATTGCAACATCATCTGCGAACTGTGAGCAAAAAGTGTGGTTTGGGTCTTTGAGAGGCATGTCGCTGACATACATGATAAACAGTGTAGGGCTATTTACTCCTCCTCGAGGGACACCCGCCTCCGGAGTGCAGCATTCCGAGTAGATGCCCTCAACATTCACTCTGAAGCTCCTATTTTCCAGGAAGTTAGAAACCCAACTAATAATTTCTATGAGGAGTCCCAATTTGGACAGTTTGTATCCGAGTCCGTTGTGTCATACTTCAATCGAATGCCTTTTTAACATCTAGGAAGCATGTTTTTTAATAAAGCCGTTTATTATTTCTTCCGTTAATCTTATGAGATGATCTGTTGTTTGTCTTACTTTTCGGAACCCATTTTGTATTTCCGGGAGTACTGATTTAGTTTCAAGGTAATTTATGGGTCTACTATTAATGATTTTTGTTTTAAACTAATTTTCCTAGATGTCAGATTTATGGAACTGTAATTTCCAGGGTTATTCGCTGATTTTCCTTCCTCCTGGAACATCTGCCTATTTCTGTTTTTAGAGATAAGTTGTAGAAAGATGTTTTAATAATAACAAATTTTCCTACAGAGACAACCAAAGTCAGTTCGAAATCACTAAATCCATAACCTGCTCTACAAAAAAAATGTTGTTGTCTTAACTGAATGCTGAAAACGTAACTTCCAATATATATATATATATAGGTCAAACCAAAACGACTATACGGGAACGTTTTAATATCCATAAATCAACAATAAAAACAAACAAAGAACTTCCGGTCGCAAAACACCTTAACATGCCTGGACACTCTCTTGAATACATTAAACAGACGGGTATAGAGACAAATGTTACATCTAACAGAAACAGGGAAATTAAAGAAGATTACTGGATAGCACTATTAAATACTGTACCGCCAAATGACATCAATCTCGATCCCGGGATTGTTGACCTTCGTATGTCACTGAAAAGGTTTTCAAAACTAAATTCATAATTAAACTTACTATACATTATTGATATTATTCATGCTTTAATTTACCTATATTGGTATTGTTTCATATATATTGCGTTACATTATTAATTTACATTTTTCCCTCCGCCTTTTGCTGTTATTTTATTTCTATTTTAACTTTATCTTCATAAAAACTGGCTAAAATTTCTTATAACTATTATCACACTGAAGTCTTTTATCTACTATACACACACACACACACCTCTTTGGCACAAACTAAACCTGACACCAACAACTCTAGGTTATGATTGGCTAGTTCTCAAGGCCAATTCATACTGAACATCCGGTTTACGTGACGTCGATATCCGTGCCTATATATTTCATCACATTCATTAAACGTAACCCTTCATTCTCCTGAAGAAGTACAGTTAACTATTCGAGTTTTGGGTCTCGTTGGACAACCATTACAACTTTCGTATGTGATCCTGTACAATAACTTATTAATCAGAATTCATAATTTGTACTTAGGCCTAAACATTATAATAATATTTTCGCATTATTTTGCCATAATGTTAATGCTATACTTAGACCATAAAAAAAAAAAAAAAAACCTTTGTTGGCAATTAAAGGATTAAGATTTTAAATTACGATTTAAACGGAGTATGGGATCAATTTTATGACTATGAATATATAAATATACGTTTTTATATGATGGAAATACATTTCAATACCTAATATATAAACAGGGTTCAAAATACCGTAGGGGGAGTCAACTTCCCTTATAAATCGTTAAGATTTCAAAACTTGAGGGGAGGGGGGGCCTTTGTTACTTCTATATTAACGGGAGTCTATTTTTTAAGTTGGGTTTCAGGTTAGCTTAAAATAAGTACTGCCATCACCTAACCTAATGGTTTCCAAACCATAACGTTTTATATTTTATTAATTACAGCTCCAATAAGCAAGAAACAATAGCCATGAATCTATAATTAATAAAATATAAAACTTTTTCATTCCGAATTCGAAGCTTTAATTATTAGGTTAAGTTTTACTAAAGTTGTTTGACCTAATAAAATGAACCTCTTTCATCATATTAGGTATTTTATTATTACATTGAAACACATAATAAATAAATGGTTTTGGTGGTTTTCCTTGAGGTAGCTTAAACAAAACACAAGTGCCTACTGAGCTAACATTTCAATCATTTTTAACATGCTTTATTTTCTTCATGCATGAAAGCTGAATAACTCTAGTGAAGTTTATAAAATTAATTGTTTATCTAAACTTCAAAAAATAACAATCCTGTTAATTAACAACACTATATGTAATAACATAATCCTGTCCTCGTCAGATCTAAAACTGTAACAAGCTTCTTCTACCAATACAATTCAGTTAACAACATTATATGTAATAACATAATCCTGTCCTCGTCAGATTCTCAAACTGTAACAAGCTTCTTCTACCAATACAATTCAATTAACAACACTATATGTAAGTCATGACGTTTGCAACCAGACATTCTGTTATACTGTTTATGGTGATGCTCTGACTAATAAAAACACTTGGTTGTAAACCATGAGTGAAAATATTCATATCGCATTTGTAAGATTAGGGTGTTACTTAAAATACAAACTTTTTTAGTTGTCGAGAAGCCTACAAAGTTGAAAGATAAACAAGATAAACAGTAGTTGATAACTGGTGAGATAAAGTGTAAATAAATGGAAGGTCTATCGGTAAATGACCGACACAGATTTTTCATATGTTTAACTGAGGAAATAGTTTACATTGACTCTAGACAGAGATAAGCACCATATGTTTTGTACATAAACAAATTTATATCAAAATATTCAATTGTGGTCAGTAGAAATGAAAGACTGACCAATGAAACACTGATAGTTACATCATGCTGGTCTAACTAAGACATGAAAACTTTAATAGTGGTAAACTTCCAATATATTCTGCTACTGTACCAAAAAAGATTGAAAATTGTTTTCAAAGTTTACCCAAGAACTTCGGGCGAGTTCCCAAAGAAAATGAGTTGTAGTTTTGTGTTATGACACCCGATACTTTAAGCACTACAGAATTATTTTACTGACTTGTTCACGACAAAAACACACTACAGCAGTAAACGGAATCCTTTAACAGAGGAAAGCTTCTAGCCTGAAACTAAAAACTCACTAATAAATGAATGAATCCTCACACCACTAATAAATTTTAATTTTTTCAGATACTTTACATTTATTCGTCTATAGACTACAAGTAAATTTTAAACACTTTTAATATAACCTGCTTTGTCCATGGAAGAACCTATTTCCTTTCTCTATTCAATTATTTTTGGGGATCTTTAACCCCAAATAAACCTGGGCCGAACAACAATCTTCTTACAGTTTAACAATAAACGAGCTCTTAAAAAACAAATGACACACTATTCTAACTTATCCTTTTTCATTACAGAAAAAAAAACAACTGATGGCTTTAGGACTGAAATAAGTTAATCAGTTTCGACCATTTCCTAATGCAGATATTTTCTTTAAAACAAATTCTACCTTATATTTCTCTTCCTTACGTTAATCAATTTGCTGGAAGGAATGATAGTTGAGGCCTACATTACATTAAACTTAATTCTGTTTATCTATGAAAAGAGTTCTCTACAAATTGGAAATGACAAACATAAGACGGCAAAGAAGCCGAAATAATTTTTTTGGGGGCAACAATTTAAGATAGTGGTTGATAAAATTTTGAAGTTTAACAATTTTAAGTATAATAACAAAAACTGAAAAATAAATTTTGGATACAGTAATACAAGATTATGTGGAAGAGAAAAAAAAAGGTGGTGGGAACAAAAAAAAACTTAATTTTTTATTCCTATTTCCTAAACTTCTACTTCATCTAATATAATACAAGATTTCTAATTAAAGAGGAAATAAAGTCTACGACTACAGTCTGGAAACTTGAATCAGCTACAGTATTATACAATGATGGTATAAAAAAATTAGCAAACCGTTTAATATTTATACCTTTTTCTTAAATACTAGCTCACTAAATAATATAAAATTCTCCAATTAAAAAATTTTCATATTATTTTCTAATTTTTAAATCACTTAGAACAAAACTTTAATAACCAATCAACATCAAAATCAATAAATCCTAAATAAAAAAAAAAATAACCATTTAAAAGTAGCGTGTCCTTTACTAAATTATTTTATTATCTTACATTAATTAGATCAAAATATGGCAACACGTTACACTTCGAATAAACTTATGGCAATCTGACATGCGTTTAGTCACGAGATCAACTCCCAATTTCTTTCACACTTTCCGGTAGACTAAATATTACTTTTGTTTAGAGAGGTACTAAGCTGACGGATGAAAGGTTTAATGAAAACGTTCACTTGTGGCGTAAGGTTATCCTTATCTTGTTTGAAAATATGACTGTTGAGGAAAGTTAGAACATTTTATCAGTCACGACCGGCGACGGGAAGAAATCCACGTCATACGAAGTGGCAGCAGTAACACATACTGCTAATACGAGTTTATTTCTTAATGGTATATGATGGAAAACATACAACTTAGATGTTCTGATCACGTTAGTCAGTTTTCCCAACGTAATAATGGACTCCTCAATATCAATACATTCCTTTTCCTCTGAATATTGACCTGAAAATAAGGGAAAATAGAAGCTTTTAAAAGTCAGGCTTCCTGTCTACTGAATCTCAAATCATATCCTCTTAGTATTATTTAAAAAAAATATTTTCCTTTCTCTCTCACAAAACTCTGGACTATATCCTCTTAACCCTCTCAGCACAGGCGGATGTGGTTACCATCCACTCGACCATGGAAGAGATATTTATGGTAACTCTGTGTGTTCCACGTTACATGTACTCCATGATAAAAACTGCATGCCAATTTCAAAATAACCGTTGTTGGATTATAGTGTAAAATTAACTCTTTAAAATAAACATATACACGCATATGTAACCTCTACATGTAGGCTACAAAGCTCAAACAAATCTGTTGAAGGTGGGCTTGGCAGTTGTTAGGGGTTGAAAACAATTACTTATTGTTTCAACTGTATTCATTCAGGGAACTTTAAAATGAATGAGTCTAAAGGTTATATGTAAGCATCTTATTGTCTAGATTACCTCTACTCAACAGTCATTGAATTACTGAAGAGCCAAAATACAGACATTTTATAGCTCATTTGTCATGTGACAATACAGCTGAAGTTTTAAGTAGTTTTTTTTAAAGGTTTATTTTGAAATAAAGAACTTAAAACTCTGATAATATAAAACTTCAAATCATATCATACATTATAATATTAATTTCATTCACGTACATTTATAGTAAAGGTGTTTAATTACATTTTGAATGTAACACAGGGAAGCATTTAAAGGGGCACCTGTTGCAGAAAGGGTTAATATACTAAAAAAAATAACACAGACAATCTGTCTTATGAACATCATAATCAGTGTTCCTCAATCACCTGTCCACAGACTGGTGTCAGCCCATCATAACCAACTTGCTGGTACATTTCAAGAAAACTGACAGAATAATGATATGTAAATTGTAATGGTTTTTTTCGTTGTACTTGCATTTCAATGACCTGCAACAGTTTATTGAGCCAGTTTCTGGCATCAGAAGGGTTCAGAAATGCTGCTTTAGATCATATGCTCTAAATACATAAAAAAAAATCGTACATCCTTTCTGCCTACCAAATCTATACATCATGCCCTCTGGAGACATAAAAAAATCGTACATCCTTTCTGCCTACCAAATCTATACATTATGCCCTCTGGAGACATAAAAAAATCGTATTCCCTTTCAGCCTACCAAATCTAGATGATGTCCTATTAATATACTGAAATTATATTCCTTTTTTATGTACTGATTCTATGGGATGCCCTAAAATATATTGAAATCACACTACAGGTTAAATGTTTTTACATCATAATCAAACTTCTTATTTACTGCTAGAACATATTTAACCTTTATTTTCATTATTTGTTTACTTATTCAGTGAAGAAACCGTTCACTGCAAGTAAATTCTCGTAACTTTCAATATTAGCTAATAAATATTCAATTTTTTTGTTATTTAAATTAATTCTTATTATTAGAATTTCATGCTTTATTTTACTTATACGTACATCAGTAAGTACTTGACCAACTCATTCCCAGATCACTGATGGAAAGGTGTTCACTTCAGTCTGTTCTTGAACGGCCGATCCACTGATATTATACGATATTCTTATTCTCATCCTTAACTGAGACTACAAAAAATAGAGAAAAATTTATCAATCTGGATATCAATTCATATTATTCAAAAATTTAGCAAGAGCTTCTCAACTGGTTTATGTTTATTAAACCCATGCGTTTCTATAATTATATTTTGACATAGTAAAAACTTTTGAAATCTTCCAAGCTGGTCTGTGTGCAGTTAACGATCAGTTCGTTGTGGTTGTTTTATTTATTAGGCATGCATTGGTACCCAACTGGTTATTGGGCTACCTGGTAATACTCGGCTACGTCTGAGTGTCGAAGTTAGCCATCTAAGCCCTAATCTTTGTGGCAACTAACACGGTACTGAAAGTTACAGTCAATAATTGGTTTAGTTAAAAAAAAACTTTTCCGAGAAACAAAAACTGACCGCCCGCTGAAAGTCATGGATTGAGAGAACAATAGGGGTTAATAACAGACACGTCTTGAGAAGTGGATTTCTGAGGAAGGTGGGGGGGGTTTTGAGAACAATAGGGGTTAACGTTTGAGAAGTTGGAGCTAGATATTGAAAGTTGAAAGTAAAACGTGAATGTTCTGTTAGTGATTAAATATAATAAACGTCAATTTTGTTTTTCTTAAATATATTCTTAAAATTGTGTGACCTAGATACAGCAAAATCAATGACAAACTATGACTACATATCTATTTCAGGGCGGCCATAAAACTGGAAAAGTCAGGAAAAACTGAGCCGAACCTGTAAGTATATGTACAACGTGATGCTAAGTTACTCCAATTTAAACTTTATAAAAGTTATTTTGGTGTTAATAATGGATTCTTTACATAATTCAGCTACACAGATTTTGAAAATAATATTCATTTTTTTTCTATCATG